TCATTTCTAATGAATAACATCTTTGTTTCGATTGAATTTCTTGTCGAATAACATATGTTGCTTTAACTAGTGAACGAATTTCTAATGAAGAAGACACTGCTGATTTCTTCTGTATTAAATCACGCAACCGGCTAATATCTTTTTCATAATTATGACTTTCCGATTTCGACTTGTACTGCATTATTTCCCGTTTAATATCTTCATGTGTTTTCTGAATGTTTGCTGTTATACAAGTTCCATCTACATGTTTATTTAAATAAATATCGTTCTGTAATCATTCACAGTTAAAGACAATACTTTGTAACACCTGTCATTCAAAAAATTACATCTCACCTTTTGCTTTCTCATGTTCAGTTTGGACTTCTCTTCTTTCAGTACCTTTAATACTGAGAGGTTCTTTATTATTTAATATCAAAGAATGAAAATTAGTACACGTTAAGTTTGTATTCATTCTAATTCTCAATTCTGCGTTCAGTGCTTTTTCTTATGTGAGATCTCCAACAGCTGATTTTTTGATTTAAACCGTTTAAATCGAAAATCGATAAAAATGATTGAAAGTTGGTGAAAATCGACGAAAATCGAAAATCAACTGTTTCCGCCTTGGAAATCTCACATAAGAAAAATTGCTAAACGCTCAAGCGCAACGCTGGAAGCGTAATATAAAACTGAAAAGTCCATTGAAGACGGTCAAAAGAAAATATCCTTGAAAAGCGGAACATCCTGGGAGACAGATTTTTGCGGGGGACAAATCTTTAAATGTGGGACTTATGGACATCTGGCAACCTTGACTGGACGGCCTGAAAGATGACAATTTTTAAAAAAGGATCTTCAGAGATGGGCTTCGTACTCAAAGACGAAGATAGGTATTGAGTTGATTCTTTTTCCGTTGGATTAATCAGCGCTTTAGCTTCATTTTTATCTATAGTGCAAGAATCTTTTGTTTTGTTCTGCTTTCAGGAGAGGTGAAATACTGACTGCTGGCCCACCCGTGTAAAAGTAGTAGGACAAGTTTTGAGTATCAGCACTGATACTACTCGAACTGCTCCTTCATATGGTATATTAAACGTCGATGTTGACTCTATGGATGTAGAAAAAAACAAGGTCAAAGTTGCTTCAAGAGAGACCAAAACTTGCCATCCCGAAAAAGATGCATGCATCTTTCAATTTTCCTATAAGGCCCTTTTTTATCTTTCCTCTCAAGAATAAAAATGTATTCGGAAAATATGGTCACGCGCAACGTCTGGTAAAAATAGCTCTTTAAATTCGATAGTAGCGCCACTATAATATAATAGGGGACTCTTAAAACCGGTTTCCGCAATTAATCTACCAGAATATTCAGTGATATAGTGAGAAATGCTGAGAACTTACTTCTGCTTCGCTAATTTTATAAAGTGAGAGAGGATTAAAATCAGCATCTGATTAGCGTTTTTTTGAAAACAGCAAAAGCAGTAGGTCCCCGCTGATCGAAGCACTGTTCTAACAGAGTTTATCCGATTCAGATGAGCGAACGGGTAAGCTCTGTTTTTCCAACCAAAGCGTACACGTTTCAAATCTAAAAAACAAAGTATCAATTAGGCAGCAGAAACTTTCTTTATACAGATTTTTTTCCTAGAAAGCTACTTTGGAGACTCAGACAATTACAAATAGAGAAAAACATCACTGATCTTGTATAACAAGAAAAAACAAAGTCGCTTTTCCTATCACTGTTTAGGATAGCAAAGCGTACGCTGTGCACTCTGCTTTTCTCAGCAAAGCGTAGAACAGCGTATTTTAAATTTCGAAGCATATGTACGCTTTGCTATTAGAAACACTGGATCGAAGCATATTTTACGATGACTGATGATGACTCATTACTAATATATATTAATTTCTTTTTAAGTATTATTTTGAATGCAAAGATTTGATTATCATTTGATAACCGGATTAAAATGACCGTCTTTATGAGCGATAATGCATCAAGATCATCGGAATCAAAATTACAAGAGGTATATTGATTAAATATATAAAGAGGTTTATAGCAATATCGGTAGCAGCAAAACAGACTAACATAGTACCGTTGAAAAGATGAATGAAGTCACTGCTGCGTCAGAAAGCGTACATCAACCTCAGCTTTAGAAGTGTTGAGATATACTGACCGAAATTCGAAGGTCGACATGAAAATCGTTCAACACTCAGTTTATCTACCGAAGTCGCTGTTTTTAATAGCCATCAGTGCTTGGTCTCCGGTCATCGAGTTACTTACTCCCTCTTGAGCAATCTTAAATGCGGAAGTTGTCGGTAGTAGAGTCCACACGTTTTCTCTTCTGTTTACTTATAGGAAAAGAAGCGCTTGTCAATGTTAAAAGATGCTTTACAAAGATCGAATAACTTAACGCATGGCATGATATCAACATTAGACAATTTTGAACGAAAATTGAATTCACTCGACGATATCATTACGCCTGTTTATGACAGTACAAATGAATTACGATTACTTCTCACAAATGTCGAGAAAACATTGTCCGTGTGTGATAGTGTATTACATTATTACGATGTTTGTTCCGAGTTGAATTCAACGATATCCTCGGGCCCTGGTGGAAATATTATCGATTATTTGAAAGAACTGGAGAAATTAGAAGATGCAGTGAAATATTTTAAACGTGTTTCAGCACAACAACAAGGAGCTGTGTCTGAACGAGAAAGAGTGGTAAGTTCAGAGAAAACAGATGTGATAGTGCTGTATTATGAAAGAAAATATATATCTTTTTTGCATTTTAAACGAACAAGAAGTATCAACGTAGATAGTATGAAATAAAAATTAGAAAGTGTATGGCCTAGTTGCCAAACTCCCACGATGTTCTTGCAAAGGACAGTCTTCTGGGTAAATCACGATAAACGGTTCAGCTTATCCCTGGTGCTTATCTCTCTTTTAGAATCAACTATACGATCTGGGTCGTCGTCGTCTCCTTGATGAAACGGATAAACTAATTATGAGATATTCCAATCCATTACAAGCTAAAGAAGTTTTAGATTTATTGGATCAACAAGAACAACTTTCTGCAAACAATTCGTCATCAAACTCGTCCGGATTTGACTTACAATCAATGCAAGGTGGAGTATGAAAGCTTTTTTGAAATAAAAGATGCAGAATTACTTGTATTTTTATGTTTTGGGCATCATCTATAACGAATCAGACATTAAGATCTTCACGAAAAATGTTTCCTTCTGCAATTACATCAGCCAGTTTTGAAACAGAATTTACATATCTCTTATTGTTTCTTTATAGAAGCTGATTTACAAGCATTACGTACAATAATCGAATGGTTTTCAAAAATTGGTTTTCGTCAAGGTTTGGTTGATTTATATGCAAATAGAAGAGGAACAATGATGAGAAGATCGTTGCAATTGTAAGCTTTGTTTTGACAATCATTGTTTTGTTTACATCTCAGCTTTTTTTAGATTATCTGAGTACTTAAGAAGTACAAGTGTAAGAAGGTTATCGACAAGCGTAAGTAAATATTTCTTTTAACTGCAGAAAGCTTTAGTATTGTTTGAACTTTATTTCGACACTGAGCGCAATATTAGGATGATGAGATATTGTGTTCACGAGGAAACCTCTCATGGCGATAGATTGCATTTCTGTTCAGACTATTTTCATCATGTAGACCATAACGAGTAGTGAAAAAATCCAAGTTGGTTTGATGCTTTGGAGTGGAGCTGGAAAAATTTCAAGTTTTTTTCGAAACACTCCATTTCGCCGGTGAATCTTCGATTGAACTGATATTTTGATTGTGGCTAGTAGTCATAATGATCATAATCTGAAAGTTTGAGCTTTATTGCTCTTCGAAACATAGAACTTTCAACATTCTTCCGTTAAACTGGCGCTCGAGTGCTACGTGATGGAAACTTCGGTCAAGCTGATATTCTGAGTGTGGACTGATATCCTCATTGCCTATATATGACAAAAGTTTGAGCTCGTTCGCTCTCCACATTCAGAACAAATCAAACCTTTCAGATCATTATGGCCACTATGACTACTAGACACAATGAAAATATCAGTTCAATCGAAGATTCACCGGCGAAATTGGGTGTTTTAAAAAAAACTCGAAAGTTTGACAACTCCAGTCGAAAGCATTAGAGATTCAGACCAACTTGGGCTTTTTCATTGCTTACTATGGTCTACACGATGAAAATAGTCTGAATAGAAGAGCGATTTATTACCTCGAGAGGTTCTCTCATCAGATACAATGGAATGAAACAATTTGCATATCTACTCGACTAATAATTATCTTTGTTGACTTTCATTTATCATTTCTTTCACGTTTTGATATCAAAGCCATTTTTCACTGCGTCTTCTATGAAAAGTCGTTAGAGACATCGAAGATTTGATGAAACTCTTATGATAGTAATATTTTTCTTTCTAGTTAACATACAGTCCGAATATTAGAGCGCGTGATGATAAAGGTGACACAATGAATCGTCGAGCTGGACGAAAAATTGGGTGAGAATCTTGGTTAGAAAAGTTTTTTTTCTTTTGCTACCACTATCCTTGTGTATATTTTGTTTACAGTCGATTTTTATCGCCGTAAGTCTATTTGTTGTCTATAGTTCTTTACTTCACTAAATGAATGCGTATTGTTTATTAGTCTCACTGACACGTTTAAGTTTCTGTTCAAATAAGTTAGCATTTTATTTGAACGCTTAGATGCTTTTTCTAGTTGAGTAAAATATTGACAGAGTAGCAAAAGAATTGTTTCGTGTAGAGTACATACTTTTCTTTGTTTTGCTTAGCAGTAAACTTGCATGCCAAGATATTCTTTCTTCGACTTCAGGGGGTCGTATCACGAAAAAACTTCAGTCAAGTCTAGACTTAAGTGTATAAAATTAGCACGTAAGTGCACATAACGAAGACTTAAGTTTTTTTGTGATACGGCGACCAGTTGTCTCTTCGAAAACAAAGGGACTTTATAAGACAATATATTATTTATCATTGTAACAAACGTTTATTTTATTGTTCTAGCCTGATCTTCTGTATTATTTCTGCTGTTCGCTTAACAGCATTTTCGCGTCCCATTTGACTTTGTCTATCTTGATCTTATTGGCTTGTTCACAAAACATCCGTTCTCGGGAGAATAATAGTAACTTAGCCGCTATCTCCGCTTTAACAAGTTTATATCTGAGCGAGAAAATGTTTCACTTAATAACAATAGTTATACTTTCCAGTTATCACTTATGGTATCAATATGCTTTTCTCTTCTAGCAAACACTACGCCATCGATAGCTACCTTAGCTACATGGCTAACATAACTCTGCTACCGCAGTGTAATTTTCGTAACGTTTTTTTTTCATTTCGCTTATAATTTTCGAACAAGGACACCCTCAGAGCTGTACAACATCTTAAATTGAACAGAAAAGTGTGCTAAACGTTTTAAGACGTGCCTGCTCTCTATATGTTCTGTCGTTTAGGAAATATGACAAAAATATACAGAACTACTTTTCTCTTTAATTCAACTCATCGTACAGCCTTTGTTCAAAAATCATAAATGAAGCACAATGCAAAAAACCGTTACGAACTTATACTGCGACAGCAGAGTTAAGTGGCCGACCTATACAAAATTATAGAGACAATTTGCTTTTATCGTTCTTTGCTCAATCATAATCACTGGAACAAATTCGAAAAGTAATTTGAATAGCTGAAGGAATTTGAGAAGAGAGGAGCGATGTGTATACAAGTTTCATTAATAGTTCTTAATATGAGATCTCTAGGAAATAAAAGTCTCTTGTTTCAAACGGAAACTTTTTGCACACAACTTAGTCAAATAGAGCAAACCTTTCTAGACAAAACGGGGATGTCTCCGAGCTCTCCATCACCTTATATTAAACTGTATTCTTTTTACGAACGATCCCAACGACATTCTTTATTGTTTTTCTGTTTCATATTAACAATTGGCAATGAAACTTGCATTAACATCGCGCCTCTCTCATCAAACTCTTTCAGCTAATCAAATCACTTTTCGAATTTGTTCCAGCTATTATGGAAAACAAATCGTCTCTATAATTTTGCATAGCACTGTATATTGTTAATTGTAGCCTTAAAAATGAAAATAGTATAAAGAAAGTTCGAGTAACTTTGCCCCCATTGTTATTTTCACCATACCAAATATACTAGTTTAATCACTAGAACGCTTTCTCTGATCTTTTGAACACATCTAATATCAGCTGTCTGTTTTAGTGATTTTAGCCGAAAATTTATTCGTTCTCCTGCTCCATCCAAAGCTCATTTGCCATCAAATTATCCGATTATGGAAGAACCACAAACGCCGAACTCTCCATCTTCATCGCAACAGACGAGTGTTGGACAATCGTTTAATTTAACTGTGTCAGGCGCCGTTGGTGGTCAATCAGATGATGATCGTGAAACAAATAATTATAAACTAATGTTAGATTCATTTCTGATACTGCTAAATCGTGATCGGGATATGTTACAATATGTATTTCCTCAAGAACTGACATCTTTAGTATTTACAAAATTAGCCGAGTTACCATTAGTCTACATGAAAGAAGAAGCACAAGTAAAATATTGTTTCTAACATGTTTCTCTTAGATCTCAATCTAAATATCCATTTATACCGGTTTTCAGAGAATATGTGATACAATTGAACGTACGCATAACAAATTAGAATCAAAATTTTGTGTATTTGGCCAATTTTCTGTATTACAATGGTTTTTTAAATCAAGACAAACGTTTAGTAAATTATATCAAGTATGTACAAATATTTTTTATTTTAAACGTTTAGACTCTTAAAGACAGAAATTCTAACTTATTAAGAGATTAAAAATATCCACATTTAACATCTTATATTTTGCTAAAATTAATTTGCGACGGAAACAGTATGCTAATCAGAGGCGAGTAGATAACGCTTATTTTATGTTCACTAAGTGTTTTTAAATGTTCCTAATACGAAATAATTATTAGACCAGAACATCGTTATTTTACTGTTATTTATTGTTTTTTAGGAGAGTGATGCAGCTCGTCGTCAACAATTTACTACATTATCTGCAACATTTGAGCAATCGGTAAGTCTGCTCGATCAGTAGTGGTACTGTTTGACAAACAATGTTGTTGCTTTTTTGTGAGAATACGAGGAATCGTCTGTCAATTCACATTCATTTTTTTTTAGGCTGTTAGTTGTTTACGTCATATTTTGGATGAAATAAAGTTAGATAGTAGTCCACCGTCGGTTGGTGGCAATGTTCATCCGTTAACATCACACGTATATAACTCTATAGTGATGTATCTTGCTTTAACTGATTTTATATTGAATGTCTTTGAAGGTGTTGGCATTTATGGAAGGTCTGTTGAATTTTGAAGAAACAGCAACAATTATAGCTTCATTATACGTCGATCAAGAACAAAGTATGTCTTTTTCTTTGATATTAACCTAACGGGAAAAAAATCCAATTCGTTCACCGTTCTCTGATTGTTTTGGCTAACATGTTTTTTTCATTAAACTAAGAGAAGCATCTATATTTACTTGTAAAGAGTAGATTTATTTGTTCTAGCCGAAATATCTATTTTCATTAGCATTTTTATGTCGTTTAGAGTCGTCGAACACACCTGTTGAAACAAATGAACAAAAGGGACAATATGATTTGGGAAAATATTTTTGTATGTGTGTGTGTGCATGTGTTTATTAGACGAAAAATCTATTTATACGGTATCTTTTCTGCTAGGTCAATTAATTCGTTGGCTACATGTAACAATATCAAAAAAAGCCGATTTATACCAGCGAAATGATACAACTATACGAGCAATATTTCTATTAAATAATGCAAATTATTTATTAAAACGATTAGAAAAGTATGTACAAATTAGAAAGAATCGGTTTGTTTCTTTTGTTGAAAATGAATTCCAGATGATCTGGAAATGCGTTTTTATTGCCTAAACATGAAACGTTTAATCATAAGATAAACAGAAGCAATTCAATGATACTGGAAACAATCGTATAGAATATACAAAGTTTCTTCACTCCTACAATTAAGATAAAAAAAACTTGATCCTGAATAGATCTTATACACTTGTCATTAGTGACTTTGCACACCATTTGTTATTTTCTGTAAAAAGTCATATGTAATTACCTTATACTTTGTGTACATGCATACACACTGTAGATATATATATCATATGTAGTTAGTTTAGTTAAGTTTAAGCTTTATTACAACTAAGAAAGGGAAACTAATCCATCTACCTCGAAGTCCATTATAGTTAGCATTAGTGCTTATAATTAAAACAAATAAAAAATTAGATCAACGAGAATGTTAAATAACTAAAGTTAATAAAAAAAAGGAAGAAACAATGTGTTGTGTGTGTATATGAGTTACTTTAATATTCATTTTTTCTTACGGGAGAACCACCCGAGGTGGTAAATTGCTTTTTGATCGAAATCCAGTGGGTTATAGGTTATCGATCATGCTGATTCCGAATATGACCATGGAGATTCGTCATAGCCCTTCGAAGATCCGGTGTTCTGGAAAACCAGTTTTTCAGAAACTCTAAAAAATAACCAAAACCTTTCTTAACGAGGTATGATTGTAGCGCGCAAATTTCTCACTAAAACGAGACATCTCCCAGCTCTAGACGACCTTTCTACAAGAAAAGCCCTGAATATTCATTGTCAGCTCAAACCTACAGAAGTAAGTAGCAAAAAAATTAATTTAGAGCTTTTCTTGTAAATTCTATAACTTTGCAAAGAAAGGTCTTAAAGAGCTGGGAGATGTCTCATTTTAATGAGAAATTTGTGCGCTGCAATCATACCTCGTTAAGAAAGGTTTTGGTTATTTTTTAGAGTTTCTGAAAAACTGATTTTCCAGAACACTGGATCTTCGAAGGACTATGAAAAACTCCCATGGTCAGGGATATAGCACAACTTCATACATTTCATAGGATGATATTTACTTTTTACACTAAACTTTTTAATATCTGATCAAGTTCTATTCTACCACCTATGTAATGTAATTTTTGTGTTACTTATGTTAATTTGTGTGCTTTATGAAGTTATTTCTATTATATCGCTGCTTAAACGTAATGAATACATTTATATCCAGCTGAAAAGCTTAGAAAACTTGAGAATTTAAAGTCTCGTAGATCTGTACATTTAAAGTGACATTTAATCCTCTTAGAAAATGATTTGTTCTGTTTTTTTTACAGCTCATCACTGTTATCTATTTTACAAAAATATCAACCAGATTTAAAATCAAAATATGAAGCTGATTTTCACACGAATATTGGAAATTATATAAAATGGTACAACGATATTTTCTTTTTCTAATCATTTATGTTTATTCTATCTTTTTTTCTTTATTTTAGTTATAGTCCGTTAATAATAGCCATTCAACAAATGCTTGAGTATGATAATTCTCAACGACTGCCGGATACAAAAGTAAGATTATTGATGCATTTACAATTTGAAATAATCATTTTATTGTTAAACTATTGAATTTTTCTTTAGCTTCGTGAAAAAGATCGTGAACAATTAAAAGACAGTTTTAATGTAAGTAAAATTGAAGTTCAGAGCAAATGTTAAGATCTTATTTCCGCATTTATTCATAAGTTATAAACTTATCTTTTAAAATCGTTAATTAAATGAAAAAAATTGATGTCTGTATTTTAGCATGTCAATTCAGCTATTGATAGTCTTCGTTCTCAATGTCAAGAATATATTATATCGGATATTGATTTACGACATCGTTTACGTCAAGATGGAAAAGCAGAAATTTTGGAGTCATTTCGAAAATATTATCAAAAATTTGCACACAAAGAATTTACTAAAAATCCTAATAAATATTTGAGATATTCACCTGAAACATTAGAACGAATTATTGATGAATTTTTTGAAATGAAAAAATGAAATTAACGATTTTAAGATAAAACATTCCAATAAAATGAACCTATTCTTTATTTATTTAAATTTTTTGTATTTATCTAATTTTCACTCTTTTATATATAAATATATTTGTATTTTTTCTCTTTTTAATTAAAAAAAAAACAAGATAGCCGATAATTAACTGAATATTTTTTTGATTAACACTCAAAAAAGCGACAATTATCAGTATTTCTTTCATAGATTTTATTGTGAGTAAAACAGACAAGGACGAAGCAGGTCAAATTATCAATTATTTGTTTTTACACGAGTACTCTCAACATAGAATGATGAAAATGCAACGGGTGGTGTCCAGCTAACAGTCAATTTTTTCATAGGTATTCTACCGTTGTCAAGTTCATCGCACTTTGGAAAAACCTTATGTAGAGCTGGAAGACATCTCATTTTAAAGAGCAAACATTTCTCTTTTAATTGCCTGAAAAAGCAAACGTTTACAGTTTATTTCGTATCTTTATACAAGTCTTAAACTGGATGCTCTCTATTTTTATGATCTGGCCGCTATTTTAACGATCTCTTATCTATTAATCTATTGACTATCGGTGTTTGCGTAAGGATAAATTCAAAGAAAAATGTTTGCTCTTTAAAATGAGACATTTCTTAGCTCTGTATAAATTTTCGGCGCTACATTATAGCATGATCAATTTTTGGAGAAAACTTAGCGCATTCACAACGCCTTCACTATCGTCCGTCCCTAGACCTGTGCGCCGGTGTAAAAATCGGCGGTGGTGTGAAACAAAAGTTCCGATCAGCGGCAGTGGCGTAGCCTCCTGAAAAGATTTTCCGTCTTCGGTGGTGGCGTCTAAAAAGGTTTTTTGGTCGGCGCCGCCTAAAAGATTTTTTTGAAATTTTCCTATCGTCAGCGGTCGGGCTAAATATAACTCCCTGTTTTTCTAATTTCTCATGACTTTTTTATTCCAAAACTTTTTCTATCGGCGGTCGCCGGTAGAAAAAGTTTTATCCTCCGCCGGCGGAGGATAAAACCAGTTTGTATTTTGAGCATGGACGACGGCGGGGAACTTCCAAAAATTTCTATGGCTTCGGTGGCGGTGGCGCCAGAAATTCTAATTATCCATCAGTGACGACAGCGGCGCAGGTCTATCTATGTCCTCTTCTTCGCTTGGAATGAATTTTGTAGCTACAGGAAATGAGTTACTGTAATATTTGATGCTTTTTTTTTCGCCGGTGACTTTCTTTTTGTCGTATTCCCGTTGTTCATGTTCAAATCTGTATTGAATATTTGACTACTATACTAAACTGGTGGATTTCGTCGTCATCCACAGCTTGCATTTGTTGTTCAAGATAATCAATTGTAAATGAAATTAGATTACCTCTTGCCGTTGATGACTTATCTAAATACATTGGAACAGCATAAGCCAAGCATGCCAAGGTAATAAATAGGAATAACATTTTCTGAGAAATCATTTCGAAATTACGATCAATATAAGGACGGTTAAACATGTTTATATTTAGAACTGCACAACTGTTGACAGTTGTGGCCCAGTGTACGATAACATTGTCGAACAGATAGATGGTTTTTATACAGAAATCGATTGTAGAAAATTGGCAATGTAGTTCGGAATGGTAATGATGAAGCAAGAATGTGTGTAAATAAATAATACTGGAATATCAATAAATTAACGTCCATAAGACAAATTTACTGCTGGATAGTAATCATATTATGGATATATTGTGCGGCATTAAGGGTACTCCCCCCTCTTTTTTGTCCCTCTTGGAAACAGGGGAAGCTGATGTTGGATCGAGGCGAAATTTATACCAGAGATAGAACATCGAAAAAGAGAATTGATATATTTTTGCCCAGAATTTTCTGACGTGTTCTTCTATACGTTTTCTGAAAAAATCCGGTTTTCGTCCAGTCACATTACGCCCCCTCGAGAAAATGGTCCGATCGAGCTCAAAATTTTATCACAGATACTTTAGACCCTATCTCAGATTCGTTTTTTTTTCATTTTGGAAAATATGCTTTCCTCGAGGTACTCAAAAAATACTGAAAATCCTGTATAAAAAAACCGGTTTTGATTTTAAAAACTTCCTCACGTCCAAAGTTGAAATTGAAAACGCTTAAGAAAAAAACGAACCTGAGATAGCGTCTGAAGTATCTGTCGTAAAAATTTGAGCTCGATCAGACCATTTTTTCGAGGGGTCGTAATGTGACTGGATTGAAGAGGCTATCGACAAAACGCATAATGAGAAAAACACATACTGTACACAGAGCTCTGTTTTTCAGGGCATTTGCCGTGATGCTTGTATCTCCATAAAAACTCATTGGAAAATCCTGCGAGACATCTCGTTTTGAAGAGCACACTTTCTTCTATCATGCTATTTATAAGAAAAAGTTTTCAATGTATAGAAAAAGAGAGAAAAATTCACGAAACTGAAAAACTAAGATTTTCTAGGCTTTGAAGAAAAAACTTAAAAACTCCATAACTTTTTCAAGGAAGGTCTTACAGAGCTGGGAGTGGTCTCATTTTATAGCCCAGAGTTTCCTCTACATTAGACTGTGTTCAGCTCAGAATGAGAAGATTTCTGCAAAAAAGAGGGAGAGGTACCCTTAAACGTGGATGGTTGATAACTGTTGTCAGGAGAAACATTTATTACGACAGATCTATCACCACATCGATGTCACTGACTAATCACCATTAATGAGTTTTTGTATAAAGTTTAACATAACTACCTCTCTTGTAATACAATAGACTATGTGCAGGTTCCAATGCATTTTTTTAGTATTTCATGAATTCTGATTCTATGCCAAAGGTAGTGAACTTAGATGGTAGATAGTCTTCTGTTATATAATAATAGGTATGCACCGGTATCGGTATACCGAATACCGAAAATACCGACTTTTTTTGACTTGGAATTTTTTGGATTTTTTCATTTGAAATGAGGTATTTTAGCATCCTGGACAAGCAGAACGTATAAACAACACTCAGCTGTGTATTTTGAGCATGTTCAGATAGAAAGAAAAGAAAAACTTTGGCTTTAGAAAGCAAACAAAGCTCTTGTTTTCCGTCCCTGATTCATTCTGGGTGTCCAGGACGCTAAAACATCTCATTTCAAATGAAAAAATCCAAAAAATTCTCTGAGTGAAAAAAGTCGGTATTTTCGGTATCGGTATATACCGAAGTTCGGTATTGTCGGTATCGGTATTTCGGTATGAATACCGATACCGGTGCATACCTATATAATAATCGTATCTGAAAGAAAATTATTTTCGGTTATCTTTTTTCGTTATCGGACTGTATTATTTTTTGTGTTTAAAACTCATTGTATCACAATCAAACATTTTTGTTGTTATTTTCTCTGCAATATTATATAACTAGCATCAAGTAATTTCAATAATTCTTTCATCATCAAGAGAAAGAAAAATAATCATCAAAATGTATCTTCTATTTGATTTTGTTGGATGATCGAGACTAGAATAATAATAATTACGATGATGGAAAACGAAAATTCGTTCATTTTATAAAAATACTTAAAAATGAGATAGAAGTGCATGTTCTATAATCAGAGTATTATCTTTAATCTAAAATTACTTAACCCTTTGAGTCCTGAAATTTTTAGTGAATTTAAATTTGATAAAACATTGTCTAAACTATATAAGAAGGCATTTATAGAAGTTCTGTTTCGTTACTTATGCATATGTATTTGATGATAAAACAAAATAACTTTTTACACAAAGATCATGAATAAAATATAGTTATAAGTACTTCCTACGAATTGATTAGACTCACGTCAGGCAAGGAAGACAGAACAATAAAAAGATTGTCCAAAACTTTCGAAATTTAGTGGTTGTAAGCGTACTTACCACTGGGACTTAAGAGAGTTAAAGAACATAATTATCTCTGATGAATAAACTAACATGTGTCAGTCACATACGTTCTTTTTTCGTTTCAGAATTGTTTCAACAACTCTTCTAAGGACAATACTGTAATATAAGTCGAAATTTTGACGAATGGTAGTTGATACTGAATCCACAACAGCAACGGTCAAAACTCGTGCCGATTTACAGATTATCAATGAAGTGCGTACAACATTTACCGGTACATTTGAAAAATATGGCACGAAACGTGGTCGTGGTAAAAAATGTTGTACCGTTTTAATGTTAAATATTTGTGAATTGAAAACGTTCAAGCCGATGTGTGATCATTTGTGGTTCAATCGAACAAAAGGGTTTGAACAACTTCAGTTGACGAAAGGACAACAAGTGCAGTTTAATGCAAGAGTTAAAACCTATCGAAAAGGATCAATCAAACGTGGTATACCGATAGTGTACGATTATAAGTTAAGTTATCCAACAAAATTTAAAAAATTATAACTATTTCTTTTGTCTAGTCTTATTTCTTTTCTGTCAAAGTTTAATTGTTCCATGTGAAATTATCAAATTTAGTCTAAATTGTTGTACATATCAATGTTTAAAAAGCTACACGATGATATTTCATGAATAATATAGTACGGTATAATAACAAGCAATTTGAATAAATGATATATTAGAACGAAAAGATGCACATATATCTAATTGTAATGGCGATACGGGGAAATTGATATGACAAATATGACCAGATGAAAAATTTAATAACTAAACTATTAAATTTAGCCCCAAATACAAATACAATTGATCAAACTAGTAATCTAGCATAGAACGTTTTCCTTTTATAACCATTGATTTTATTTTTCATTGGTTTATCAAAGCTAATGCGTCAGAAGTTGTTGTGCACAAGTATCCGTGTATAACATCGTTTGTGAGCATCGTTCCTACCCTAGTAAAATCCCTATAACTTTTTTGACAGGATCCAAGACATATCCTACCAATATCCTACTAGGATTTGGCTTCAGTTTCTTAAGATCCTCACAAAATCCTACAGAAATCTAATTAAATCAGGTATACCCAAAAGTCATAGGATTTTCTAAGATTCTGTTGGGATCCTAAACAAACTGAAGCGAAATCTTAGTAGGATACGAGCATCTTAGGATCCTGCTAGAAAGTTATTAGGTGGATCCTCAATATTAGGATCCTATAAGATCCTAGTAGGAAATAGACAGGAAGTGCGTAGGATTTTGTCTATGGTAAAGCCTATTTATGATAGATTTCCTTTTCTAAAATAATCTGGTTCATTGAGGTCCCTCGTTAGAGAAAAAAATTGATGAACAACAAATTCTTGTTTAGTGTTTAACGTTCATCACATAATAGATTACGAATATAACATCATTATTTGGCTTAAAAATGTTTCTAATAAGGGGAGAACTTATCGGTTGAATGACACTACCCTAGAGTAAAAATATATAGACGCTATATCATAATAACTGAAAAAATTCCTTTTCTAACACAAACTACTACTTCTGTTATATTCCATTTCTTTTCGGGCTGTTATAATTGCTTGAAGGTATTAATTTTTCAATAAGAGGGTTGTCATCCTCTCAATTTTGCTATGTTTCGTTTTTTCTGCTTCTCTGCCTGAGGTCATCCGATTACCTTAAATAATAGAGAATCAGAGATGGACAAGTCGGGCCATTTCCAAGTCCAAGTCCAGATCTACGTCCGAGTTCATAGTGGTTTCTACACTATGTAGTAGGCCATAATCCTATACGACGGTAAATAAATTTTCTCCATACATTAGATGCATGTTTGACAAGAAAAGATTAATGAATTAGATATCAAATTTTACCCATCCCACTGTTTTGAATGTGATAGATTTTAACTGCTTGGACTTCAAACGAACTTGATAAAAAAATCCCCAAGTCCAAATCCGTCAAAAAAGCTTCAAGTCCGGACTTAGACTTGCTCACTTCTTTGCAGAATGTAGACTACGGATATTTTTAAATCTTTTGAAACACAAGCTCAACGCTCCGTTGTCCATGTTGAGCTTCACTTTTTTTGTCAGATGTTGTAGATCGATGTAATCGATAACGCGTATGTTTCTATAAAAGGATATTAAAAAGAGTTTAACGGTTCGTCTCATTTTAAAAGAGAAACTGACGGATGATACCAATCAGGAAGGAAAATGTTGTTGTACACGCCAAAAACTCACACTAAGAGAGTGTGTCTTACACGATGTTGCTACCGTAAAATAGATCTTTGAAGGACCTTACCAATGTTTTAAATATGCCTTAGCAGATGAAACTGTCTTAATGAGTCCTACATGTGTTTACAATTAAAAAAATTGAAAACACATTAGACGCAGCAAGCCATTTTGAAGCGAAGCCAAAATGACAGGAAAAAACTTCGGTTCTCAAACTACTGATTCGCATTTGAGAAGCCACTCTGGTTTTATTAATGGAAAGATTCTTATGCTGAAAGTTGCTGTAGTTAAAAGTTCTTGTTTTCAGAAGAGGCTCGCTCAGCTGTCTGCGAATACATGGTGACTTTTTTCAGAAAAGAGCGCCAAATCAAAGTTAACTTGTGCAACCCTTACAGCATTTTGGAATCACACTTTCAACTTTCAAAAGTCTAGACCACTGTCGTAACAATATAAATTAGGCCAAAAGCAAGAGTATTAATCTGCCAATGCTCATCTACTTGAGACTAAGTTCTACGCATTATTAAACATTGTCGACATAAAAGTTACTCAACTGATATTTAAAAGGGTTATAAACTAGCCAGTTGCGAAATCAGAATGAGAACAGTTGGCAATGATTGTATGGTGCAGCTTCTGTAGATGAATACATATGTCTTCCGGGCGTACGGTAATGAGTTCAAAACTACTCTGAATTAGTATTTCATTTTTATTTTGTCTTATTTAAGTGTGTTGTAAAGATAAAACACTGAGATCACATGGGAGAAAATTGTTTTAAAGTGTTTTACAGAAAGACGCATTCAAGTGATCACCATTGCAAGACACACATAGTGTCTTACAGTGAGACGTTTTAAAGTATCCTTTTCCTATCAGATTCAAGTGTCTTACTATAGAATACATTATTTTTCAGGATGCTACTTATCATATGGAAACATCTTGTTTCTTCTATATAACAACAGTTTTCCCGTAAAAAAGTAATACTATCTGTTATCTGTTTACAGTCGTAGAGATCTGCGAGGAGATCCCAGTCTTGCTGGATGATCCCAGTCCCGCGGAACTTTTAATGGGACCGGAACCAGATTGTTTTGAAAATAGTCTTGTATAGGGCATAAAAATTTCTTATTTTCCGTGCTTCTTTGTATGTAGGCACTAGTTCTGCGAGAAAGAGTTCACACAAAATTCTAAAAGTCTTCAATTAATATCATCTATGCATGCTGTTACAACGTGCTGACTTTCAAACTATCAGCGCTACTTTGAAAAGATATTTACGGGACCACGGGATCGGAACCAAAAACGTTTGGTCCCAAAGACCTCTATACAGTTGTGCTAGTCGCAACTAAAGTATGTTACTTATCTTTATTCTGTTTCTTTGAAATGTCAAAATGTTCAGCAAATAATCTGAGCGTGTTGTTTGTGAAAGATCTCTTGCGACAAGCTTTACCAACTGTGATATAGCATTTTTATTACCTATGATAGTTTTGTGAACATTTATTTCCGTTACGGTGGCGACAACTTAAAAAGTGAGCCTAATTCTTTTCTCGCTTGCTTGATATTACGTAGGAGAAAGCCAGTTTCAACATCATTTTTAGATGAAAAAATTTTAAAATACTTATATTTTGAACTTTGACAAAAAACAGTGAAATTTTCAAAAAAAAGTAAAATCTCAATGTTTATTGTTGTTTCTAAATCTCAAAAATATTTGTTTTGGGTTGTTCATGCGAAACTACATCTCGAACAGTAAGTTCTATTAAAATAAAGATTACAAAAAAAAAAATCGTTGGATCCAGAGCGGAATTATTGAGGTCACACTATGCATCTTGCAAAACTATCTGGGTTTTTTTGGTTAAGAGATATAATAACTTTTTTGCCTTCATTTTAATCCTTATACTTGTGGGAGAAAAGTTAAGTATCGGTTTTGGAAACTTTGTTTGATTATTGGAAAAAAAGAATTTTTTTCTGAAATTGATAGCAAAAACACAAGGATATGCACTTGTATTTTGCAGTTTTCACCATTAAATTTCAATCTTTTTACAAAATCAATGTCATATTTAAAACTAGCGTCAAAAACTGGGTTGAATGATATGTGTTTACGAATTTTTGGACAACTTTGACTTTTCAGCAAACATCTCGGTTTAAAAGCTCAAAAATTTTATTTTGATCTTAATTTTAATAGAACTAACTCTTCTAAATGCAGTTTCGCATGAACAACCCAAAACAAATATTTTTGAGAGTCAGAAACAACAATAAACATTGAGATTTTACCTTTTTTGAAAATTTCACTGTTTTTTGTCGAAGTTCAGAATATAAGTATTTTAAAATTTCTTCATCTAAAAATGATGTTGAAACTGGCTTTCTCCTACGTAATGCCAAGCAAGCGAGAAAAGAATTAGGCTCTCTCTTTAAATTGCCGATACTCTACTTTTACAACGTACGAATAAAGATACACAATCCAATCATCTCGTCTATCTAACAGTGAAAAGCATTTTTGTTCAAGAAAATAACAGATCATTAAACGTCGAATTTTTTTATTGTGTACATCAAAACTTGTTCATATTTTTCTAACTTAACGATTATAAAAAAGAAAAAATGAAAAAATATACACACATATGCGGTGGAATTTGAAAAATCTCTGTAAATCAGATATATTTCTATGCGACTGATTCGATGAATTTTTTGAACACTACGAGTATTCTTTAAATATAATACATTTAAAATTCATTAGTAGCTCATATGTTAATTCTAGTTGTTAAAAAATTTTATTTTCTATTAAAAGAAAAAGATTTTGAAAAATTGAAGTTTCAAATTTTAACCATATATCCAATAGTTTTATCAATTCAACTGATTCATTCTTTCTATTGCTTGAAAAATTAGTATTATTATTGCTATTTAAAAAACATGAAAAAAAAAAGTACTGTGAAAAAAAAAAAAAAATTTAAATCTTTAAATTTACATATAGATACATAGATATTTGATCGGTATACGACGACGAGCGAGAAAAGATTATTTATGTGCATATATCAAATTTGAGACATTTATGAATTTTCTTTTTGTGCATGTTAATAAAATTTACATGAATAAAAAATCGACTTTATTAGATGAAAAGAGAGGAGAAAGCAATTATGAATAGGTAATGGACAGAGAGAAAGCGAGAGAGAGGGAGAGAACGTGTATGCATAATAAATCAGTAGAGTACAGAATGAAAAAAAAAAGAACATTTTTGTTTTTATTCTGTATTTCTGTGTATATTACGCGAGATAGAAGAAGGAGAAAATTGAGGATGTTGTTTTATATTGTTTCAATTTCA